TCTTTGTTAGAAGGGACGGTTTGCCCATTGGGGGAGGCATTGGTACAACCATTTGGTAAAATAAAAGATGGTCCAGATGTATAGTCGAAGGGGGTCCTGATAAAAGCCCTCCTGGCACCAGCTGGATGACTGGGGAAAGGACATGAGCCTGAGGCCACAATCAGGGACAGCCTTGGGAGGACCAGCCCCAGGTGGGTCGGTAGTCTTGGGCTGTTGCCAGGAGGGCAGGGCAGAATGTGTGGCAGGCAGGCGTGGGGTGAGGGCAGGGAGATCAGCCTCCAGGCCCCGGGTGCCCCTTGTCCTGGGCTCATCTGTCACATGGGCTCATAATGGTAAAGTGCTGAGCCTGGACAGTGCCTAACACATAGTTGGTGCTTAATAAATGTTCCCTTCCCCCATCAAACACAGGAGCAACTGAGGCTGCAGAGACTGACCAGCACCTCCCTTCCTGGTCCAAAGAAAGTGACTGATGGCCAAGCCCTGGGTCACCAGCAATTGAGGAAGCTCCCGGGAAGGCCACCAGGATCTCTGGCCTCCAAGGGGCCCTCATCAGCATTCCCTTGCAAGCCTGACCCTTCCCCTTGCCCCATCCTTTCAGCCTCTTTGCCTACTCCTCTGGCAGGTTCAATCTAAAGCCTGCCTCCTCCAGGAAGCCCAGCTCTGAGGGAAGGGAGCCAGGGATCCCCCCAGAACTTTGGGCTGCCCAGGCCTGGCCAGCCCCTGCTGACCAATGCGGTCCGTGGACTCCACAGAGGGAAAGGGACTGGCTGGGGTCAGACCCACACATCTGTAGCCTGGGCTGGAAGGCTCTGGAGAGGCCAGCGAGAGTCAGGATTTGAACTCGGTCCTCAGTCTCCTGCTCTTTCATAGGGACAGGTTGAACTCAGTGTCCACTGAGGGCCCTTTGGTCTCAGACTGCCATCATTGCTTGAAGGCGTAGTTCTCCCCTGGCCCCCCAACCTTGGGACTTCTCTGCTGTCTCCCTCACACACTTCCCCCTCTTCACCTTCCTTTTGTGTGTGTTGTCTCAGATTGGAAGCTCCCTGAGGGCAGGGATTGTCTTTATTTTTTTTGAATTTGTGTCTACAGTACAGAACAGTGCTTGGCACACCGTGGGTCCTTAATAAATGTTTGTTGACCATCAGCTGTTGGCTTGGAGACAGCTCCAGAGCCTAACTCTGGCTTGAGGGCCCTGTTCCTTGAGGAGGGACCACCACCCAGAGCAGGAAAGCCCAAAAGACACAGTGGGAAATTGAGGTCTGGAGAGGTAGAGGAAGCCACAGTCAGTGGCACAGGCAAGGCTGAAGGCTGGGCCCTGGGAAGGCTTCCCTCACTCCTATGGAGACCATACCCCCACTTTGCCCTGACTCCTACCCTCAGATAGCTACCACCTGGCACTGAGAAGCCTGAGGCCTCAGGAATCCCACAAATTTTGCCTCTTAAGAATGTTCTGGAAAGCCAAGGGGCAGTGGGAAGTAGGGGAGCTCCAACAGCAGGCTGGACTCACTGCCCTGGAGGTAGTGGGCATCACAAGAATGGATACCACCCAGGAGAGGGATTGGCCCGGGGTGGGGGAGGGGAGGACTACCCACTAGGTGGGGGCAGAGCTGCCACCCTGTAAGGACATTGGGTACAGATAAGAAAGCACACGATGCCAAGCACACCGCTCCAAGCGGATGGCCGGGGGACAGGCTGAGGTAGTTGGGAAGATTCAGATCAACAGCACCCCAGAGCAAGAAGACAGGAGGTAGTTGGGGTGAGGCAGGGTCAGCAGAGGGGAACTGAGGCAACAGGGATGGGGGACCCCCAGCTGGAGGGGTTTGGGGCAGGGGAGAAGCCTCCCCACTGTGAAGGCAGCATGGGGGACCCGCAGCTGCTGCCTTCCTGCCTGGCCAGTGCTAAGAGGAGCCCCGAGGCAGGAAAGGACCTGGGCTCAGTCAGTTCTGAACTTCCGTGAAGCCTCTGGCAAATCACTGTCCTCTGGGCCTCAGGGGTCAAGGGAAGGCAGTGGGCAGAAGCCTCTGGCACACAGACCTTGCGTCTGGGGCGGGATGTCTAGCTGTGCAGTCTTCTGGTGAGCCCCAGGGGAGCGGGATGCTTGGCAAGGTGTGGGGTCCACCACTGGCACTTGGGAGGACAGGCTGCTGCCCCCAAGCATCCTTTGGAGTTGGCTACAGGGGGAGGTTTCTTAGATGCTGGAGCACTGTTTGGGACCTCTGAGACCACTCACTAGGCAGGCCAAACAGCTGCCAACTTGACAGCCTCCCACACAGTTGGGCCCAGCACTCTACAGGTTGGACTAGAGGCTGCCAGGAGCCCCTCTGGCCCTGAGATGACCACAGGGTAAGGCTACCTGGCAGACTGGACAAAATCCTGGGACTAAATCCAAGATTGAGAGAAAGAAAGGCCCCTGCCCATCACAACAAGTACAGCTGCCGGTGCCCTTCTGCCCAGGGAAGATGGCTCCACCAGTTGGGGCGTCCAAATGGAGCAGCAAGACCCTCACTACCATGACTAGGGATGGGGAGACATTGAGGAAAACGGCTCTGACCCAGAGCAGAGTGAAGACAGCCAAGACAAACTGAAAACGAGGTCCTATGATCAAGCCGGGCTAGATGAGGAAACGCGCCTAACTTCTTCCTTGGCAGTGGTGGGGGGCTATGGGTGAGGAACACTATATACAAACCATCAGCCTTGGACGATGAACGTGCCTGAGCCACAGCCAGGGAGCACCACAGTGCCCAGAGCCACCAGTCCTAGCACCCCACAGACCCGAGTTCATATTTGACGTCAGACGTTTAACCAGCTGCGTGAACCCTGGACCACACCTGCTTCAGTTACCTGGCTAGCATCCTTGTCCTTTGTCCTTTGTTTTCAAAGAGGACCGAAGACCTCACAGGGTGAGGTCTTGACTTGCCCCTAAATTGGATTTAATTTAATTCAGGCGCATTGGGTGAAGTCATTGGTGCACTCTCCTC